TCCATTAGGTAACACATATAGTCTGCGACATTCTGACCAATGATGTGCTTCCGATGTACTTCTGCATTGAACTCCTTGCTTTCAGAATCATAACCAGGGAATCGTTTGGTACTGTGAGGGATAGACAAGCCTCCATCCACAGCACCCTTTAGGGCTCCAAAAACTTTATTGCCAGTTGTAGTTCTGGTGAGGCCTGCATCCAAATAGCAGGTGAAGGCACCAGGTTTGCCATCAATGCTGTCCACATTGTATTCATCTCCAGTAACCTCCACCTGGCCTTCATAGATCTTATCCATGCCAAACCTATTGAGAAGCCTGCGGGCCAGCAGCAGGCCAGTACAATATGCTGCAGCATAATTTGTTAGGCCAACCTTCACACCATACTTTGGTAGTTCATGTGCATATGCCGCACAGACTATCATATCCCCTTCAATGTGGGCAAAAGCAATCTGACAAATGATATCTGTTAGTTACATGAACTATCATCCTGTATTTAGGTGTGTTGTACTTATTTTTGTCCTGTATTACCAAGCATTTCCTAGCATAGTAATCAGTTTTGCCCTCTCATTGTCTTCTAAACTTCATTTGGTATCTCTTAAGGTAGGCCTTATTCTTGACAACCTTAACAAAACCCATCCTGTGTAATATAGCCACATGTCTGCAGCCCTATACAGACCTACAGGCCAAGCAGCACCACAGGGAGAAAAAGCTTGCTGTATAGTTCAGACTGGCCTTGAACTCACTATGCAGCTAGGCTGGCCTCAAACTTGTGGAGGATCATATGGATGACACTCCTTGAAAGAGCAACTGTCTCCATTTTGGCTTATCCTGGCCCTAATTCTATGTATTGATATATACAGAGCTGGCAAGGATATTTCTTTACCCCTCAATTGGCTTTAATCAATGTAAGTGTATCTAGTAGAGGTGCTAATATACAACCTTTAAAGCAATGCGACAGATCAGTGAAGCCCTAACTGTAGCTCCCAAATAATAAGGATGAGCTAGGCCTAAGTTGCTATGGTATTGGCTGAGAATGAGGCTCAAGAAAAGAGGCTGTGATGTCTTAGGGTTTGAAAAATTATACATCAAAACTGAAGTATTCAGGGGCCAGGGAGATATCCCAGTGGAATAAGTGCTTACATAGCAAGGACAAGGTCCTCAGTTCTATCCTTGGTACCAAAAAACGCCCAAAAGACAAAAAACTGAAGCACTGACCTGAAAACACTAGAGACTGCTCCAATCTGTAATGCGAGATTTCTCTTTCTGCATATCTTTCTCTTTGCATATTTTAGAGGCTATTTCAGGCCTCTTACCTAGCCCAGCTCACAGCCTTATGTACTTCCTGCCACTCTGAGTCACTCATGCCCAAGCCACTTCCCTCTTCACAAAATAATAAAATCCAGATTTGCCCCTGGGTCAGTCTTTTTTCCTGGTTAGCCCTTATTCTGACTGGATTTAGGACCTCTTGGGACCTCTCAACTACAAATATGCCTTAGTCTCTATTCTTGCCATGTGTTGCACTGGAAGTGATGGAGCAGAATTAATTTATTAGAACTGCAATAACTTTTCAATGGCATTACAAGTGCAGAACCCATTTGCATTGCTTAAAGCCAAGTAAGCCCACATCAGTACATGGAAATAGGGCCATGTTTAGCCAAAATGGAGGCAACTGCTCTTCTTTCAAGAAGAGTCATCCAGGTGGTCCTCCACAAAACTTGAAATGATTTTCCTGCCTCAGCCTTCTGAATGCCAGGATCACAGGCATATACCACCATGCCTGGCCAAAAATCAGGTTCTAAACTAAGAGATTATGTCCCCAGGGAGATAGCTCAGTAGAATAAGGGCTTGCCTGACAAGCGTAGGGTCCTGAGTTTAATCCCAGGTACCGAAAAGAAAGAAAGAAAGAAAAGAAAAGAAAATTCTCAAGGGGCGGGGGAGATAGCTCAGTAGAGTAAGTGTTTGCCTGGCAAGTGCAAGGGCTGGAGTTCTATCCCTGGTTCCGAAAAAAAAAATTAATAAACTAAGAGATTATGCCTGATGGCACAACATGAACTCTCCTTCCTTACTGCTTCCCTGCGTACCATTCCTCTGATATTTAGATATGTTAAGCACCGGCCAATCCAGGATCTTTGCATCTTCTGTCCATTCTGGTAGCCATTTTTCTTTCTTTTTTTTATTTTTATTTTTTAGCCATTTTTCTTATACCCATGTAGATTTGCTTACGAGTGTGTGTGTGTGTGTGTGTGTGTGTGTGTGCTCTGTGCTCAAACAGAAGCTAATCTGATGGTTTCCCTCAAATGTAAAGTAGTGCCTCTACCTCAGTTTGCTGCACTCCTGTTTCTCTGCTTTTACTTTGTAGCATGACCTTTCCTGTGATGTATTTGCTCATCATCTATTGCTCCATCCATCTGACCCACTAAGAATATAAACTTTGGGTATTTTGCAGACATTTCTTTGTTTCTTTGGAATAAAATGGGAATATGCCATTTTTATTTATCTTAATTAAATTTTAAATGTTCTTTTAACACAAAAAGGTATATACATTACACGACATTTTTTTTCAACTGGAGAAGCGTCAATAGTGTGTGGATATATAGGGTAAAACAAGATTGGTCAGGAAGAGAGAATTGGAATTAATTTATTAGAACTGATAATCTGACACAATGTTCTATTGCATTAAAAGAAGGGTCCTGGGGCCGGGGAGATAGCTCAGTAGAATAAGTGCTTGCCTGGCAAGCGCAAGGGCTTGAGTTCAATCCCTGGTTCCACAAAAAAATAAAATAAAATAAAAAGGGTCCATTTTTATCTTGCCCAAATTTGTTTCATGGTTTTTAATTCCTCTTGATTAAAAAAATTAGACTTGTAATTTGTGTGTGCTGATTTTGATCAAAAGGTTTCTTCTCCAGGTCAGAGTCAGTGGAGTCAGAATATCTATAATGATCAGGTTCATTCTCACTAACATTTGGTGTTGTGGAAATTGAACTGCTAACCTCTGGATTTGACGGCTCCTCTACTATTTTTGTGAAGTACAGCTTCACTTTAAAATTTGGAGAAAGGGCCAGGGATATAACTCAGTGGCACAAGTGCCTGCCTGGCAGGCACAAAGTCCTGAGTTTGATTTTTAGAAAAAAAAAAAAAAAGAAAGAAAAGAAAAGAAAAAGAAAGAAATCAAAATTTGGAGAAAAATATTGGTTTGTCTTTATTTTCTTTGTCAAGTTCATTTTTTGTTAAAGTAATATATATTCTTTAGTACTATCTCCACAAAGTGTATTACAGTCAGTCTTGTTATGAAACTTCACACCAGCTTCTTGTTCCTTTCCCTAGCTCTTCAGACACATGGTTAATGCTCTGTTCTCTCCCACACATGAAGAGCCAGCAGCTAACCTTGTTGGACAATTATGTAGGCCTATGTACATTGTGAGGAACTTACTACATTTTCTCACTGATCCTAACAATAGAAGGGAAGGACTATTATTGTTTTATTGATATGCTGCTATACAGAGGGCTTAAGGAGTGACAGGATGTAACTATGATTGGCACTCAAGTAGTATGACACTAAACCTGTACTCTTAGCTACAAATTGTGGGTGGCAAAAGCTTCTGTGAGGCATGGTACTCACAGATGAAGAAAATAAGAGTAAAAAGGGCAGAGCAACAATGGCCCAATAAAATTGTGAAGATGTTTATGGCTGCATCTGTTTAAGCCAGTAGTTGAATTTTTCATTGTAAATTTAAATAGTTTCAATAGATGCAAATCCTGGCAAACTGATACTTTAGAATAAAACTATTAAATCACTTTTACAATGTATCCAACAGAACCTACACATGATAACAATTATATAAAAATACACAAATGAAATGTTCAAGATTGTTATTTTATCATCTAAATTTATATTTCGGCTCTACACTCCCATGAAATATTATTCAGAAAAAGAGCTGGTACTCATATAGTATTTTGATGTTTGAAAAGCTTTCATTGATAACTTCTTTGTAATAAAATATATGGCTCTATGTGTTATAATTCTTTTGAATTACAATAGTTGAAATTATCTTTAGCATGCATAGTAGTTGGTCAAAATGACATAACTACAAACTCTGAAAGCATATAAATAAATATAAAAGGTAAGATGCTATTGAGAGTTCATCTCACAGTGAGGTGGCTCGGGCTTTTACACCAATCACTTCGTATCTCTGGATGAATATTCCTGACTGCTAAATCAACAGTTTAGTTTCTACTTCTTTTTGTTTTTCATATACACAAGTGCTAAGAAATATTAAATATGTAGATGAGAATGCTAGTAGTGTTAGTGATAACCAATCTTTTGGTTTCTCTCTAAATTATGATCCAAAAGTCAAATGCTATTCCTCCTCCTCCTCCTCTTTTTCCTCTTCCTCTTCTTCCGCTTCTGCTGCTTCTTCTTTCTCTGATATAGAGTCTGGCTATGCACTTCTGGCTGGCCTTGAACTCACTATGAAGGCCAGGCTGACCTCAAACTCACAGAAAGCCGCCTCCCTCAGCCTCCTGAGTGCTGGGATTACAGGCGTGCCCCACCACAGCCGGTCTAGCTTCATTCTTAAGACATCCCTGGGATGCACCTGACACCCCCTTAACAGCACTCTCCAGTCGAGACACGATTTGAGGGGGACTTCGGAAGCCAGTTACTCTGTCTTCCCAGCTACCAGCCGGAGGGTGTGGCCGCCCATTCTGTCAGTTCCTGGTACAACTCTCGTCAGTCGGCTACAGACAGGAAAAGTACAGCAACTATTTACAGCCGGCTCTGGGCAACCCGCAGATGCAAGTGACCCAAAGGCACTGCCGCTCGGAAGTTAGCGGACGCCTGGGCAGCGGTGCTGCGTGAAAGAAGCCACCTCGCGGGGAAGAAAATCCGAGAGATGCGCCTGCCGAGGCCGGAACCTGGCGCGCGGGCTCCGGCCCTTTTTGAGCCGGAAGTGAAGAAAGTGGGGCTGGTCCTTCCCTAGTAGACACGCGGGAGGACGTGGGATTAAAGCCGGTGTCTGTGTGGAGGCGCTCGGAAGGGACAGATATCGCTGTGACACCGCTGGGGCTCTTGGAGGGGGACGGGTGTCGGTGTGGCGCCGGTGCACGCTGAAGGAGCGGGTGGAACCGGGTGGTCATGGGGACGTGGGCGTCGTTGGACGTGGTGTGGGAGCTGCCGGCGGAGAAGCAGATCTTCGGCGCGGTGCTGCTCTTTTCCTGGACAGTGTATCTTTGGGAGACCTTCCTGGCCCAGCGGCAGGTGAGCCTTGGCCGGACCGGCTGACCCAGCCCCCGGCAACCCTCGGCTCGCCCGGGCCTGGACCGTTAGCCCCTCGATGTTTGCTCCGGTCCCGGCGCTGTCTCGCCTCCGTCACCCGCGCTCAGCCTCCTAGGCGGGCCGGCGGCGGGCTGTGGGGTTCTTGGTGCCACATGGAAGTTTTTCAGAACGTTATCATGGGACTGAAGCCTGTCAGGGCCTTAAGAAAGTGAAAAAAGGGTTTCTCTCCTCAGGCTCTAGATTGTACCCATTCCAAAGATCTTTTTAAGATCTTTGGGTCCAGACTTAGCCTTCTTTTTCTTTAATACAAGCCATCAAAAGGAGGATGCTACATTTTTGAATAGTAGCTTCTCCGTGGCAGGATTAGGGAACGATTTTCTTTTAAAGATTTTGCAATTCTTCCAACGACCTGTACAACTAAAAAAAAAAAAAAAAAAAAAAAAAAAAAAAAAAAAAACCTCCAAGTGCATGTGTTTATGTTTAAAAAGCAATTTATTGTTTTTCATAAGTGTTCATTATTTTTGTTTCAAAATTTTTAAATAGCTAAGCATTGAGGCCCACACCTGTAATCCTTAGTCCTGGGGAGGCCGAGGCAGGGGAGAGAGTTGGAGGAAAGCATAGCCAAATTAATGATACTCTGGCTCATAACAGAAAGTAAAAAGGACTAGAAATGTATCTTAGTAGTAGAGAGCTTTCATAGCACTCAGGAAACCCTGGGTTTAAAATTTTTTTTAAAAATAGAAAGTGAAAATTATTTACAGTTCCCAGGGGATAACTATAGTTAACAGCTTGACAGAAATCTGAATTTTAAATGAGATTAAGTTTAATTGTTTACCTGGTTTATTGTGATCTCACTGCTAAGGTTGGCTTTCTTTCTTTTTGAGAGAGTGGCTTTTTTGAGACAAGGGTTTCACTGTGCAGTTCAAGTTGGCCTTGAATGCACTTTGTAGCCTAGGCCGTTCTCACACTGGCAGCCATACTCCTGGCTCAGGCTTCCAAGTGTTGTGGTTCACCTTTCCTAGGTTTATGTTGTCATTGGATTACAGTAAGTCTCAGACTTAGGAACATTTATGTTGTGAACTTTCATGGATCTTAAAGGACGTTGCATTAGTAACTTTCATAGATGTGAACAAATTGTGGAAATAGCCTAGGTGTTCATAGGACATTTCCACAGTTGTGCTTTTGTGTACTTACTGTACAGTGTAATAGTGTACAGTTGTAAAGTACTCAGTCAGAGCCCAGGATGTCCAGAAGCAGGAGGAAAAGCCCTGGTGATGTAAAGGAGACAGCTATTGTTCAAAGCAATATACATACACGATATACTTTGGTCAGAGGTGTTTAAGACTCGCTTTGTTAGATTTATGAAAAAATGTGGCTTACTGATGTTCTCCCTAAACAGAACTCATTTGTAATTGAAGACCTTATGTGAGTAGTGATGGTTAGGAGAACCTTTCTAACTGCTGGAACTTTTTCTTGAACATAAGTGTTTTTCTTCTGCAGATGTCTCCTGTCAGTTTACATTCTGCATCAATCTGTATACAAAGTTTTAATTTTCTGTATCTGTCAATGTCTAGGTTATGTGTTAATCCATCTTTAGTTCAGTATGTACAAATACATATTGATTTGCAGAGTTTAATACTCTTAATAGAGCTGTTTCTTCCTTAGTACATACTATTGTTGGCCTATAGAAGATCCTTTGTATAAAGTAGAAAACATAGTATGTGGTGTCAAAACTGGCAGGTGAGGCAGGCATGGTAGCACATCCTGTAATCCCAGCACCCTGGAGGCTGAGGCAAGAGGATCATTGTGAGTTCAAGGCCAGCATGAAACATAAGGTGAGGCCAAATTTAAAAAAAAAAAAAAAAAAGAGAAACAGATTGTGAGATTTTCTTTCTTTCTTTCTTTCTTTCTTTCTTTCTTTCTTTCTTTCTTTCTTTCTTCTTCATCCTCCTCAACCTCTTCGTCCTTGTCCTCCTCCTCCATTTATTTTTAATGTATTTGGTATAGTGTCTCACTGCGCAGCTTGAACTCATAGTGATCCTTCTGTTTTCAGCCTCACCAGTGTTGGGAATACAGGCCTGCACCACCATGCCCGGTCTCCGTGGTCTACTCAACATGGCCAGCTCCGCATGCCAGGGAGTGGGCCCAGTACTGGCACTGCATGTGGTACCCAGGATCAAGCCCTGGTCCCTACACTTGCCTAAGAAGGCAGCTTGATCTGCTGAGCTATCTTGCCAGCCCCCGTCAGTCTTTCTTTTTTTTTGAGACAGAGTCTCACTATGTAGCTTAGCTAGGCCTTGAACTCACTAGCCTAGGCTATTCCTAGAACTCATGCTGATCCTCCTGCTTCAGCCTACAAAGTGCTGGGATTACAGATGTGGGCCACCACACCCAGCTCTGTCTTTAATTACTGTTAGTACATTAATTTTTCACTAAGTTTTGTTTTATGTATTTATTTTTGAAAGAGAGTCTTGCTTGTTGTTCAGGCTGGCTTTGAACCAGAGTGATCTTTCTGCCTCACAGTGCTAGAATTACAGGTGTGTGCCAACACTTCAGGTTCTTCAGTAGTATCTTCTTTTTTCTTTTGTCTTTTTTCAGACAGTATTTCACTATGCAGTTCAGGCTGGTCTTGAACTCACTTTGTAGTCCAGGCTGGCCTTGGACTTTTGTTAATCCTTCCTCGGCCTACCAAGTTCTGGGTTCAGTAGTGTCTTTATAATAGTATCTTTAATACCTTCAGCTTCTGTTGACACAATATAAGATATGATCACAAACTACAGTGAATGTTTCAATAAAAATAAATTTATTACAGTAGAAGACTTATTGTCATTAATTCCCCTGAAACTTTTCTTTTCATTACACATATGTACGCCATTGTTCTTGCCACTTTCTAGAGGGGTTTTGGATGTTTTCTTTTGGTTATATCTTTTCATGGCTTTTAATGTCCTGAGTAGATTCAAAATATCTATGGCATTTTCTGTCAAATAAAAACATTACTGGGCTGGGGAGATAGCTCAGCAGTCTAGGCACCTGCCTGGCAAGCTCAAGGACCTGAGTTAGATCCCTGGTTCTGCATGCTGTGCTAGCCTCATGTGCCAGCCCAAGACCAGGTGTGTGGCACATGTCTGTAATCTCAGTACTGGGGAGGCTGACACAGGAGGGTCACTACAAGTCCAAACTGCATAGTGAAACCCTGTAACAAATAAATAAAAACATGAAAATTAAAAGATAAAACATTACATTGTGTCTTTCTTTACCTTATTCACTGGATTTGGCACTTGGAACTTCTGGCTCTTTCCCAAAGTCAAAATGACCTTGAAAGTAAATATTTTCAATCAGTTTAGGACATACAGGCAGCCATGACAGCATAAGTAATGACATTCATGAGAGAAATTTCAGGACTGTTTCAGAAAGTGGCAAGAATGATGCACAAAAGGGGATATTTTGAGAAAAATTAATTGCAATGTCTTTTAATACATTTTTAAGAATTTAAGCGGTCCATACATTTTGATCATAACTTGTACACTGAGAATACAATTGTAAAATCATTATAGAAGATGCAATCTATTATATTTTTGTTGTCTGTACTCTGTGTTATGTCCCCATGGTCCAAGATTTTCTTTTAGAATTGGCCTAAGAAAGTTGGTCTTGGAAACCTGACATTTTCTGTTGTTTCTGAAATCACTTAAGGACCAGCCCCATTATCTATGAATACTCATGGTTGGCCTCAGACCCTCTTGTCTGCAGCATTTGTTTCCATAGTCACTGTACTTGAGAAATGCAGCATTTGTGTATTATGAAATATTCTATAGGTTTAAAACCATCCAGTGTTTGATTATAAATTTCTAATATAATAATGTTTCATTAAAATGTTTTCTTCAAAATATTTCAGAGAAGGATATATAAAACAACAACTCATGTACCGCCAGAGTTAGAACAGATCATGGATTCTGAAACATTTGAGAAATCTCGACTGTATCAGCTGGATAAAAGTACTTTCAGCTTCTGGTCGGGACTCTATTCAGAGGCTGAAGGCACTGTAAGTAATTTACTTTCTTGGAAATACAATCTCTCAAATTCATACTTTGCAACACATGTTTTTAGTTTTGTATTTTTGTGACACAAAAAAAGGTAGTAGGTCCACAAGTCCCAGAATGCTATCTTAACCTTTATTATTGTTAATAATAGATGTGGAATAAAAGAGGCAAAAACATAACTAATTAGTCAGTTTAAATTTGTAGAATATGGTAACTGTCACTTGCTGACCAGGTGTAAGAAGAGTCTATGGGCTGAGACAGTGGAACATACCTGTAATCTAAGCCACTTGGGAAAGTGAGGCAGGAAGACCACACATTCAAGGCCAGCCTGGGCAACTTAGTGAGACTGTCTCAAAACACAAACATACAAGAAAACAAAACAAAACAGGGTGATAGTGCAATGTAGCTCAGGATTCAGGCCTCAGTATCACCTCCTCCCCTACCAAAACAATAACAAAAAATTGTATGTTGTGTTTTATTTTTATAAATCCCCCATTGGTCTTACATTTACCTTAAATCTCAATCTCTCTCTCTCTCTCTCTCTCTCTCTCTCTCTCTCTCTCTCTCTCCTTTCTTTTTTGAGGCAAGTTCTTTCTGTGTAGTCCAGGCTGGCTTTGAATTCACTGTGTAGCCCAGATTGGCTTCCACTTCCCAAATGCTGGGACTACAGGTGTGTGCTGCCATGCTTGGCTTACCTTGAATTTCTAATATGTCCTTCACACTAAAGTCAAAGGAATCTTTCTGGAACACAGTTTTTATCATGTTTTCCTCCTACATAAAGCCTTTCAATGCCTTCTGTTTTCCATAGAGTAAACTGAATTTCTTGGCTTGGCTGATGAAGTCCTTATGACTTTTGTCTTTTCTCATGCTAGTATTTCTGTCTGAGGAGTCAGTCTCCTCTTTTTTCATCTTCATTTTTTCACCTGCGATTCACTAATCTCTACTAGTCCCTTTAGGGTCCAGCTGAGACATCTGTTTCAAGACACTAAGGCCCAGTTTAGAATGGTGCTTCATCTATTATTGTAAGTGTTCCAAGTTTGGGCGAATCCTAGTTTTTCATCATCTTTTTTTTTTTTTTTTTTTTTTGTATTTTAGGGAAGGGTTTATAGGGTATTCAGGGTCTCAATACTAGATCTGACTCATAGTGAACTGCCTGTTTATAGCTTCCCAAGAGCTGGGATTACAGGCAATCACCACCACGCCTAGTCTCAATTGGCATCTCAGTGCACCCTAGGGGCAGGGCCAGCACGGTAGGCAGGAATTGAATCCCTAGCCCCTGTGCCTGCTCGCAGGCGCTTTAATATGCTGAGGTATTTGGCTAGCCCAAATCATCCTGATCATCATTATTATTATTATTATTCTAGAATTCTTTTAGATGTACTAATTCCACTAAGAAAAAGATTTCTAAATCTATAAAAGTAATTGAGATTGGTTAATTTAATTGTTTAAAAAAGTTTTATTTAATACATGTTTACAGTATGTAATAATCATCGGGGAAGTTGGCACAAGTGCATAACACATCTTGATTCTTTCCACATCTGCTTCCCCTCTCCGCCCTCTCTTGGTCTTCTTCCCAATTACAAAAGATCTATTTCCATCTCCCAAAATCAGTCTTCTATTTTGTTGCTCAGTACAATTATTTTATAAATTAAAGCTTCTAACTCTATGTAACTTTGTTAAATGAGAATAAAATTGACTAATTAGTCATAAAATTTTCCTTGACAAAGACAAATATGAATTACTAACACTGCTTACAAGCCAGGTGTAGTGGTGTACCAGTACTTCCAGCTGCTTAGGAGGCTGAGATAGGAGGATTGCAAGTTGAAGGACAGTCTGTGCAGTGTAGCCAGACCCTGTGGCAAATAAAAAGGGTTGTTGATATAACTTGGCAGAGCACTTGCCGAGTATCCACAAGCCCTTAGGTTTAGTATCTAAGATAGATAGCTAGATAGATAGTTAGAGAAGATCCAAGTAATTAGAAGTTATTCCCATTTTTTCAAGATGATGAAAAATGTCAAAGCTTTTTTTTTTTTTTGTATTTTACGGAAGGGTCTACAAGGTGTTCAGGGTCTCACTACTAGAATGGACTCATAGTGATCCACCTGTTTACTGCTTCCTAAGAGCTGGGATTACAGGCTCATGCCACCACACCTAGTCACATTAGCTGTCTCAGCATGCCCCCAGGGGCAGGGCCAGCATGGCAGGCCCAGGGATAGAACTCCTGGCCCCTTGCCTGCTTGCAGGGGCTTTAATCCGCTGAGCTATTTGGCCGGCCCTGCTTTTGGAGGATTAAATCTTGGTATTTTTATGTTTATTTATTATAGTACTGAGGATTAATGCTGGGGTATTTCACACTGAGCCCTTTTCAACTTTTTATTCTCAATAAATTGTCTAGGCTAGGCTTGAATTTGTGATCTTCCTGCCTCAGTCTCCCAGAGTATTATGATTATAGGTATATGCTAGCACACCCAGCTAATCTTTTTATTTTTAGAAAAATTGATATATGATATAGACAATAAAATTGCAGTGGCTTTTGGAGTACAACTATTTCTAGTTATTAGTCTTTTCTTTGCAACCAAGCCAGGAGAAGGAACATTATTGTGGATTATATTTGGTTTCCATCTCCTCCCCTTCATCTGCTCCCCTTCCTCTCCTAGTAGTGGTGTAGAAGTTTGAACCTAGGGTCTTTTGCATATTAACCATGTGTTCTACAATTGAGCTGTACTTCCTGATATTTGCTTCATGGGAGTTTTGACTTATCCCAGTAGGGTCACGATAAAATTGTAGGAATAGCATTTTTAGTCTCTATGGTATTAGGAGTATATAGTTTTGGGGGAAGATAGACAAGGGCCTGCTAATTGTGGCAGGTGGTCAGTGGTCATGGGCGTGGCTCAGTCTGTTCTAAGAGATGATAGAAGTAAGGAGAATGTGTGCATGAAGTGTGAGCTTTGCCGTGTGCTGTGCAGTTCTCATGGACTAAAGCTGGGAAAAATATTAGTCATCATGATTTTCACTTCACACAGTTTCTCTGTTATTTTGCTTGATGTTTAAAACAATAGTGTGAAATAGTGTGCTGGGGAAGATAGCTTGGTGGTCTAAGCACTTAGGGCCTGGGGTCATTTCTCTGGTACTGCATACACACATGTAATCCCAGTGCTGGGGAGGCTGAGACAGGTGGATCACTACAAGTCTGAGCTGTGTAGCAAGACCCAGTACCAAATAAACAAATAAAAGATTTAAAGAAAAATAAAACAGTGAAATACAAAGGATAGGGATTATTAATCTATTTCTATGGATGAAGAAGTGAGGCACAAAAACATTACATGGCTTGCCCATTTAATGGCCAAATGATGCTCTATTAAGTGGTAGAACTGGGCTTCAAACTGCTCCTCTGAGATTTTAAAGTTGTACTGAAGAAACTATTCTTGAAACTCTTAAAACTGCAGTTAGTAGCTATATTTATCATTGGTTAGGAAGAAAATTTTTTTTGTTTTTTAGTTCTGGGAGTTGAAATCAGAACCTGTGCTTACTAGGCAGGTGCTATGCCACTGAACTTTATCCTTAGCTAAGGAAGTAACTCTTACGTTGCTTTGAAAAGAGTTTGAAAACAAGTTAATTCCTCCTTTTTTATGTATTTAGTACAGGGTCTACAGGGTTTCGCTACACAGGTTGGACTCAGTGATTCTCCTGTTTTTAGCTTCCCAAATGCTGGGATTATAAGCACAAACCACTATGCCCAGTTTCAATCACCATCTCAGCACACCCTGAGGCAGGGCCAGCACAGCACACCAGGGATTGAATCCAGTTCCTGTGTCTGCCTAAGCAGACGCTTTAATCCACTTAGTTATCTGACTGACCCTAATTCCTCTTTTATCTTGGTTAGAATTAATAGGTTTGTATGTTTAGGTCACAGACACTTACATGAAATTAAGTTAGAGTTTTCTTTTGATCTTTGTTTTTGCCATAGTGGTATCTACTTGAGATAAACTAAGCAGAGCCCTTGTCTGACCAATTATAAATGCCATTGTTCACATAAATGGGACAAAGCACCCAGAGAGAAAAATGTCCGTTGTCTGAGACAAATTTTCTCTAGTATTTCACAGATGTAAATAAAGTACCCAATCAATATATGAAATGTCCAGCCACTATGGCATGTGCCTATAGTCCCAACTACGAGGGAAGCTGAGGCCGGAAGACCCCAGGCCCAGGAAATTGAGACCAGCCCTGGCAACAAAATAAGACCCCCTTAAGAACTTAAACAGCTAGAGACTGGAGAAAGGCAAAGTTTAGCTTGTTACTTCTCCAATTTCTATGTTTCTAGATGAGCAGTTTTCTCTCTCTCTCTCTCTCTCTCTCTCTCTCTCTCTCTCTCTCTCTCTTTGGTATTTTGTTTTGTTTTGAGATAGGGTCTCATATATAATCCAGGCTGAACTCAAATTTGTGGGGATCTTCCTGTTTCAGCCTCCCAACTATAAACATCTGTTTTCCCTGGTTTACAAGTTTACTCTTTCAGCCCCATTTGAAAATGAGTGTGTAATAACAGGTATTCTGGAGCCTGAACCAGGAGAATTTCAAGTTTGAGATTAACATGGGTAACTTACTAAGGCATTGTCTCAAAATAAAGTACAAATGGGCTGAAGATATAGATCAGTGGTAGAGTATTTGCCTAGCATATGTGAGGCTTTAAGTTCAATCTCTAGTACAGAAAAAAAGAAAGAAAGAAAGAAAGCAAACAAAATAAGAGGAAAAATACATAGATACTAAGCCATATCTTGTAAGACTTATAGAAAGGAGTAAGTAGGTAATACAAGGTACAGGACTCAGCACACAGCAAGTACTTAATCATTGGTTTCTTTGGATGAGTTACTTTAGTCTAAGTTTTAGTTGCCTCATCTATAAAACAGAGACTATTTCAAAACTAGTGAAATAATGTATGTAAAAGCACTGGAATGCTTTTGTTTTGACACACAGAAAGTTTATAGTTCACCATGCCTCGTTTCTG